TGCATTGGACAAACAAACATGAGTAAAACTTCTTTGGGAACTCAAGACGTCTATTTCATAATGTGACAGCCCCACCTCACCCTAAGGCGAACTAAAGGGTTCAGCGGACCGCCTGCCCAGCTCTCGCCAGGACTACGGAGTCAAATCACTCAAACCCTAGATAGGACGCGCGAGAACTCAACGAAAACGTACAATTGGAGACCACCCAAGGTTAAACAGAGCTTACCAAACCATACGGAAGTACGAGACGTCAATTAAACGCTTATACATAGATTTACATCGGAGTCTTGAACCAATGAACCAAAATACGAGCCAGAGTATTCACACTATACAAAAGACAATTAGGGTTTCAGTTACAGAAGAGCATAAACAAAAGAAGTCCTACAACTGGCTCAACTCTTTTCTTCCAAAAATCTTGGTTTCAAAACATGGAACCCTGTAAGGAAAAACAAAGGTAACAGAAAAGGGTGAGCTTGCTCTCAATGAGGTACCAGACATATAGCAGTAAAATCATGGCATTTCACATTTAACAAATCAGGTACACATGCCAGAGGTAAGGTAAAGTAATTAGAACCAATGATTCAAATAGGAAGGATACAGGTGGCTCTCAGGAGCCAAATTCCCATTTGCTTCACCGAAGCTTGATCGAAATAATAGTTGACACTCCGTCAACGCTAAAGGAGTAACCAATACTGTAGACTCCACTTTCTCCGATTCCTTCCACCTCACATACCCCTACCGGGCCCGAAATCCAATCAGTTCAGAAATGGTAATACTCGAGTATACCGGAATCAAGGGTCTCAGTACCCAAAGATCCCAAAACAGACTACCGTGGTTCGTTATCTAATCGACCAGGCCCTTGCCGGCCCGACTTGAGTAACTAGCCACAGGGGTTGAGCTCAGAGGTCACAGAAAGGTCGTTGGATACAAGCTTTCAAACGACGTCAGAACAGATACAGATACAGATACTAGATACAGATAGCAGATTCAAAAACGCACTCAAAATTGGCATATGAACAGACAAGAGAACGAGTGTGATAAAGTACACCCTCGTCTCAAACAGAATAAACAGATAGTTCAGTCGTTCATATCACATATTGCATGTACAGAAACCGAGTTAAACAATAACAAGTGAGGGGAGTGGTACACTCACCGGTTTCAGTACAGATACCTCAAAATTTTTTGCCCAAAAGAGAGCTTTAATCACCAAAAAACCCTAAAATAATCAAGGTGAAACAATTATGGTTCCCACTTTCACGAATCCAGTACACGAAATGCATAAATAAGACTCAACTATAAGTCGTGTGCCTGATCAAATTAGCTACCAGTGCAAAGAAATAACAATGTAATTTTGGAGTAAAAGGTGGCGGTTGGTATCAAAGACATGAACAACCCTAAAACCCTTCGCTCAAGTCACAAGTAAATCCAACTAGCCTTGAAGTAACATTTCGGCAGCATATCCCTTGTGTTTACATATTTTCCAGCCATTAATGGCTTCATTATTTCCTCAAATCAGTCCCAACATCTCATACAAAAATAATCTCATTTCCAAAAGCCGTTCACTAGGCTTAAAGTCATTCAAGTACAAAATAGCTAGGAAAATAGCTAGGAAAATGACCGAAAATGAAAGTCAATCCCTAAAATATTCAAATAAGCACAATAAGACTCGATTACAAGTCATAAACCAATTCCAAATACCACCAAAATAGGGCTCCATAAGAATGTATAAGCACTAGAGTAAACCAGGGAAATCCGGAAATGGACTTAAGCTCTAAACCATAAAAACAGTTTTTGACATCATTTTGCGGTTTTCGAACCATTGGCACTACCATTATCGGATAGAGGTGCAAGATACACTATTTCGAAGCTAAGAGATAGGGCTACAATGTTGAAGAAGACTACTCTGTCCAGTTTCGAGTGTAACCAGGTAAAAAATGCAAGATATTAAACCAGAACCGCAAAAACAGGTTCACAAACCGCATTCTGGTTCAAACATCATAAGTCAGGCTACCTAAGTCCAAATCAAGTAATTCCAAAGCCATCCGAAAGATAAGATACATGGATACAATTCATCAGAAGACCTCAACAACCAATTCCGAAGTATTCCCAACCAAAATAACCAATTACAGACGCAATTATCAAATGCGGGTGAAACCAGGGCAGCATGGGTAATTCAGTCTTTTCATAAGTTACGTTGCTCCGATTGACCTGAAATTTTGCAGGCATCTCTAAAATATCATTCCCTATAACTTTTATATTTTAACCCAAGGCCAATTAGGCCTCTAACTATGAGGTACTGTGCCGGGCAGAATGTGAAATAATGAAACCCTAACTTTCCAACTTTCTTCCAAAACAGAAATTTCCTACAATTAACCACTTTTTCCACCTTCTAGCTTCCTTAAATATCATTTCCAATCATCATACATGACCACATAATAATAATCATATGAAAACAGAAAATTCTCCAATAATTATAAAACTTCACCAATTCAACCAAAATCAAGATATAATCCATAAAATTATATCTTAAACTACCACAAATCATGAATTAAACATCATTAGATGGAGGAGAGGGGTCCTTCACTACTCACCTTAGTAATACAAGAGAGAGAGCAACTAATCACCTTAGCCTTCCAAACAACTCCACTAAACACCTCACAATCACTAAGTGAAGGGGTTTTATGGAACAAATGCAAGATCAAATGGTTGATTTGTTGAATTTGAGCAAGATAGAAGCAAGTATTTGAAGAGCTTTTCCCTTTCTTTTTGCTTGAGATGGCCGGCCAAGAAGAAGAAGAAAATGGTAAATTTTTGGTAATTTTTTTGATTTATTTGGTCAAATGGTAAAAGGTGAATAATAGTCATAAATTACAACCAATCTCTAAGTGACACTTGTCACTTCATTAAATGCATAGCTATCACTTTGTTCCCTCTCACACCAATCCACTTGGGTAACCTCTAATTATCTCTTAGCACCCGATAAATTAAACCCGGTATACACAACTTAACCTAATTGACCGAATTTTATCAAACTTACCGCACTAGCGGGTCCCACATCCGATATACGCTCTTAATTTCTCAAAAACTAACCGATACTAGAAAAATCATTTAAAAACTATATTTACTAATAAAATTATGTTTTAAAGTTTTTCGAATAAAGAAAATGTGAAAAAACGTGCAATGCAAAGAAAATAAAACCTAGAAATTAAGAAAATTACGGGTCCTCACACTCTCTCCCTCTTAAAGAAATTTCGTCCTCAAAATTTTTCTTATTAACGGAATCTATCAAAACCTAAGGTACCCAACGGATCGTACCTTCTACGTCCTCAGACGAGTCAGGGACCTGATGCTGCTCTAGAGAATATACCCGAGCTGGTGCTTTCGATCCAGTCCCTTCTCCTTTCGTCTGTCCAGGGTCGATCTTGGCTGGTTGCTGAGAATTGGTCTTGGTTGGTGGCAGAGTCCTTCTCCGCTCGCGCAGGCAAGCTGGACAGTTAGCAATCCGATGTTCGGCGCTTCCACGGCGCAAGCATTTCCCTTCTTTCTTCCAGCAATTTGCTTCCGTATGATTTGACCCTCCGCAATATTCACAGGGACCACGAGTAGCAGAAACTGATCCCCCCTGTGGAACACCACCTGTCACCCCCGGTAGCCGTACTTCCCCGTTTCCCTTTTGAACTTTAGGGGTTGTACTATTATCCGCTTGTTCTGAGCTGCTCTCAGGAAAGCCCCTTTTCTTGGTTTGAAAATTTCTAACTTGTAGCCTTGCATTTTCAACCCGCTGGGCTTTCTCCACAGCATCACTAAAGGTATTAAGTTGAGCTACCGCCAAATCCTTTTGAATCTCAACATTTAGTCCCTGAATAAAACGCCTTATCCGTCTTTGTTCGGTTACGATCAGTTCGGGCGCAAACTTAGACAACCAAGTGAATTGACTCTCATACTCGGCTACGGTTTGAGTTCCCTGGCGAAGCCGAATGAATTCATCTTCCTTCTTTTCTTGGATTAGAGGAGGGAAAAACTTGACGTTAAATTCTCTCGTAAAGTTCGCCCACATCCTCGGGATTTGTTCTCTTTCCCATTTCATTCGAATGACATTCCACCAGGAACGGGCAGCTCCCTCTAGTTGAAAGATAGCAAAATGCAAAAATGAGTGGCTCCAAATGCTTGCTGCAAAAACTTGGTACCATGCCCTCCGTTCATGGCTTCTGGTACGAAGACATGAACGCGCGTGTGCAACTCCTCGGTTTTTTTTTTTTGCTTAAACTGCAATTTTTCTCTTTTGTTTTCTTTTTTTCTTTTCTTTTCTCGATTTTTCTAAAAAAAGATTTTTCTCAAGAAATAGAAATGAAACAGAATAAATAAAAATAAATAAAAATTTAACTAAAATGAACAAAAATAGGAATAAAATGAAGAAAATAAAAATGGAAAAATTTTGGTGTCTACATTTATAACATCATTTCAGTAATTATACCAACATATAAACTTATATGAGTTGTACTAAATGCAAAAAGTTTGTAAAATAATTCCATATTTCAAAATTACCCAAATATCTCTATAAATAAAAGTTTTAAATGTACAAATATGAGGACATTTCCGTAAACATATCCAAAAATATGCTGCTATCAATTGTACCAAAATGTTTATAAAAACTGCACATCATTTCACATTCCCAAAATGTCCCTATCTATGCGGTTGAAATTCAAAATCACAACTCATTCTTATATAGTACGAGGATAAGAATATACTTTGATATACATTTTGATATTATCTAAATGTTCAAACTCGGTGGTTTTCAGTCATAGCATACGATGGTTTTTGAACCAACTTTTCCCAAAGATTACACGTTTATACGTTAATATAATATACACTTTGACATTGAAAATGATAAAGGTATAGTTTGAGCCCCACGCATACCGTACACAACGAGATCAGTAGCCTAATCCTACGGTTCATTGACCGACTCACACAAATTGCTTATATTACCATTTGCCACCTCAAACTTCTGGCAACTGTCCAATCTTACCGCCTTGGCCTCCAAGCCAGATTTTCTTGATTTTCCCCTCCCTCTTCCCCCTATAAATCCTCCCAGTCCTGCATCCCTCTCCCTTCGATTCTCCTTCCTCTCTGTCAAAGAGAGAACATTGTGGCACAATAAAAAGAAAAAATCACAAGAACCTACTTGGGTCTGATTTATACTTAACGAATAATCTGAAGTAACATTTTTTGGGGTTCCATTTTTTGCCTGAATTATCGTCGACCGTTCTTCGTCAGGTACTTATCTGTTCCTGCTTCAGCATTTTCAACGATCGAATGCTGTGTACTTTTCATTTTTATGTGGAGATTTACATGTGATGCTTGATTTCGGATCTTTCTGTCTGGTTTTTCGGTTTCTGATCGTTTAATAGTGTAAGATAAGCCATTAAGTTTGTGCCTTTCTTGTTTCTCTTGTCAATTTAGTTGTAGAATTGAATTAACTGTTTTGTTCATAGAACGCCTTTCTCAGAATGGTCACTTGTTCTGTTTCTTTTAAAGTTGGATTTCTGTTTTACTTTCTACAGATTAATTAGCGGTTGAAGGTTGTGTTGGGTTGATTCTTGTGGTTAAAATTTCGACTGTCTGGCAATTAGGGATATTAGGAATTTCACATCTTCAAATCAGAATATGAGCTTTCCAGTACAGCGCAACAGAAGAGATAATCGGTCAAGGAATAGAACTACTAATCCTGTTCAAGGTGCTCGACGTGAGTGGGTCCTGCGTGGTCCGGCTCCCATTGCCACCACCGCTGCTCCCACTCCCACTACTGCCGCTATACCTCCTACCAATTACAGCCCTGCGGTGGCCGCTGATGATGTGATTAGAAATGGAAACAATGGGGACCAGAATGGCAGGTCAGTTCCACCTGCTAACAGGACCAGGAACACTTCAGGAGCCAGAGGCATTATGCGTCAGCATTCGAATCAAAGGAGGGAGCGGGATAAAGAGAAGCAGAGGGATTATAGTAGAGAGGTAAAAGGGTCGAAGGATCTGAACTTACCTTTACTTGTCCAAGAAATTCAGGATAAGTTGATGAAAGGTTCTGTGGAGTGCATGATTTGTTATGATATGGTAAGGAGGTCTGCACCAATCTGGTCATGTTCTAGCTGTTATTCTATTTTTCACTTAGCATGTATTAAGAAATGGGCAAGGGCTCCTACTTCAGTCGACTTGTCAGCAGAGAAGAGTCAGGGGTTTAACTGGAGGTGCCCTGGTTGTCAAGCTGTACAGCTCATGTCCTCGAAGGAGATTCGGTATGTTTGTTTTTGTGGGAAAAGGCAGGATCCTCCTCCTGATTTGTATTTGACTCCCCATTCTTGTGGAGAGCCTTGTGGCAAGGCACTTGAGAAGGAAGTTCCTGGTTCAGGTATGGCGAAGGAGGATCTTTGTCCTCATCTATGTGTCCTGCAATGTCATCCTGGTCCTTGTCCTCCTTGTAAAGCTTTTGCTCCGTCAAGAAGGTGCCCCTGTGGGAAGCAAGTAATCACTACAAGATGCTCTGATCGAAAGTCTGTTCTTACATGTGGACAGCGGTGTGATAAGCTTCTTGATTGTGGGCGTCATCGTTGTGAGCGGACTTGCCATGTTGGTCCTTGTGATCCATGTGACGTGCTGGTTAATGCCTCGTGTTTCTGCAAGAAGAAGATTGAGGTTGTGCTCTGTGGAGACATGGTTGTGAAAGGAGAAATTAGAGCAGACGATGGTGTCTTTTCTTGTAGTTCTATCTGTGAGAAGAAATTGGGCTGCAGGAATCATTTTTGTGATGATATATGCCATCCTGGACCGTGTGGAGAATGTGACTTGTTGCCAAGTAAAATTAAAACATGCTGCTGTGGTAAAATGAGGTTAAAAGAAGATCGAGAGAGTTGTCTGGACCCAATTTCAACATGTTCACAAACCTGTGGTAAAAGCCTGCCCTGTGGGGTTCATCATTGTAAAGAGATGTGTCATACTGGAGTTTGTGCACCTTGTCCTGTTTTGGTTACTCAAAAATGCCGCTGTGGTTCGACTTCTCGGACTGTGGAGTGCTACAGAACAACAGCAGAAAATGAAAATTTTACTTGTGACAGACCTTGTGGGCAGAAGAAAAATTGTGGGAGGCACCGATGCAGCGAGAGGTGCTGTCCTTTGTCAAATCCAAACAAATCCTTTTCTGGTGATTGGGATCCACACTTGTGCTCAATGCCATGTGGTAAGAAGTTAAGGTGCAGGCAGCATTCCTGCCACTCATTCTGTCACAGTGGCCATTGTCCTCCCTGCCTAGATACAATTTTCACCGACTTGACTTGCGCTTGTGGAAGGACATCAATTCCTCCTCCACTGCCTTGTGGTACACCTCCTCCTTCTTGTCAGTATCCCTGCTCAGTTCCTCAGCCTTGTGGCCATCCATCCACTCACAGCTGCCACCTTGGAGATTGTCCACCCTGCACGATACCTATAGCAAAAGAGTGCATTGGTGGACATGTGGTCCTGAGGAACATTCCTTGTGGTTCAAAGGATATACGATGTAACAAACTTTGTGGTAAGACGAGGCAGTGTGGTTTGCATGCATGTGCTCGAACTTGTCATCCTTCACCTTGTGATACTCCTACTGGAACTAGTATTGGCTCAAGAGCTTCTTGTGGGCAGCCCTGTGGTGCTCCGAGGAGGGATTGCCGGCATACATGTACTGCTCTTTGTCACCCATCTGGTTCCTGTCCTGATGTAAGATGTGAGTTTCCTGTTTCAATTACATGTTCTTGTGGGCGAATAAATGCTACTGTTCCTTGTGATGCTGGAGGCAGCGGTGGTGGGTATAGCAGCGATACAGTTTTAGAAGCTTCTATAGTCCAGAAGTTGCCGGCGCCTCTTCAACCTGTTGAAGGTAATGTAAAGGTGCCACTTGGTCAGAGGAAACTGATGTGCGATGATGAATGTGCAAAGACTGAAAGAAAAAAGGTGCTTGCTGATGCTTTTGGTGTTACAACTCCAAACTTGGATGCACTTCACTTTGGTGAGAATGCTGTTGTTTCTGAAGTGCTCAGTGATCTACTACGTAGGGAACCTAAATGGGTGCTGTCTGTGGAAGAGAGATGCAAATATCTGGTTCTAGGAAGGGGCAGAGGTGGAATTAATGCTGTCAAAGTTCATGTCTTTTGCCCAATGTCAAAGGAAAAGAGAGACATTGTCAGGTTAATAGCCGAAAGATGGAAACTTTCAGTAAATGCTGCTGGTTGGGAGCCAAAAAGATTCATTGTTCTTCATGTCACACCAAAGTCCAAAGCTCCCGCTCGCATACTTGGTCTGAAGGGCTGTCTTGCCAGTAACATGTTGCAGCCACCAGTTTTCGATCCTCTGGTAGACATGGATCCCAGGCTTGTTGTTGCTCTATTTGATTTGCCTAGGGATGCCGACATTAGCGCATTGGTTCTGAGGTTTGGTGGTGAATGTGAGCTGGTCTGGCTGAATGACAAGAATGCTTTGGCTGTTTTTAGTGATCCTGCCCGAGCAGCAACTGCCATGAGGAGATTGGATCAAGGTTCATTGTATTATGGTGCTGTTGTAGTTCCTCACCATGGTGGAGCATCAGCTGCAGCCGTAGCAGCTGCAGCTGCAGCCAATGCTTGGGGAGCGACGGGACCATCCAAGGATGGTGGTGCAGTTACAGCTCTCAAGACGAATCCTTGGAAGAAAGCTGTAATGCAGGAACCTGATGGGAGGGAGAGTTCATGGGGTGCTGAGGACTGGTCAGATAATTCTGTTGATGTGCACTCATCCATTCGGAAAGGAAATGAAGTTCCGATATCTGCCACAAACAGATGGAGTGTTCTAGGTTCTGAAAATAGTTCGTCTACATCATCTGGCAGGAATGACGATTCTAGGAACAAGCCAGGAACTCCTCTAGTTTCCAGTGTTAAGCCGAGTTCAAGTAGTTCAGTTCTGCCTGGACAACCACAAGGAGCAGGGCTCAATGAGATCTCTGATGTAGTGGACGATTGGGAGAAGGCATACGATTGAGAAAGACCTTTAATTCATCAACTCTTCAAGCATTCAGAGAGCAGCAAGAGTCATATAGTCGCTCCTGTATATTCTTTTTTTCATTTGTTTTGTTTTGAAATGCAATTTTGGTGGTTGTGTTTTATTTTGCTTGTTTAATACACAACCTATATATGTATAATCCCTTTCTCCTCCTTCTTAAGAATGCCCAGAAAAAATGGGAATGTAAAAATCACAGAAGGAAGCATCTGCTTTGGTGGAATGCTGCTTGTGGGAATGCTCATAGAAGTGCATTCTAAATGAATGACTTAGTTGTCAAATATTTTCACGTTTAAACATGCTTTGCAGATTGTTACAGACATCTGCTTTCCCCTCCTGCTCTTTGAGGAACCTTGCAAGTATTCCTTGTGTAATGTCTTGCCCCACTTGTTTGTTTCTTTTTTTTTTTTTCCCCACTGAGTGTTTCTCTTTCTTTTGATGTCTGTATGGTGTTTGACTATTGAGCCCCAGGATAGGTGGATCTAATATGTACGTCAGAAGCAAAGCCAGTGTAATTCCTGTATTGATTAACAATGATTAGTTTAGTCAAGCTTTTTGGGTGTAATTTTTGATCTTCTTCTGATGTTGTTGTTGATTTATTGTTTCTGTGAATCAGACTCTAGCTGGACCAGTTAATGATCCTGCTAAGCTTCCCATGTGGAACTATGATTGGTCAAGCACTGGTCAAACCCCTGGTGAAGATAGGGAAGTGGTCTTATAATATGTTGTTTCTTTTAACTGTGTTGTTTTAATACTTCAGTACTTTTTTGTTGTCCTTTTTATTTTCGCTTTTATTTTTTTATTTTATTTGCAAGAGACTTACTAATACGTTTCTTTTTTTTTTTTTTTTTAATTTGGTGCCAAAATATAGTCCTCAGGCAATATTTAACGATCCATTCAGGAGGGGCAATAACATTTTTGTGAGGGCCTTTTTATCTAGTACTAGTTGCTCAATTTAAGACTAGTCGATCTTATTCTGCTTTAAGTTTCAATGTAATTTTTTTATCGTGATGACTAAGTTATATGTGATGCTTACAGTCCTGCTGGGGAACCTATTCTAACAAACGAGAAGCAAAATGCTGCAAAGATATTTAGCAGTTCTGAAGTTGTTGCCGAGGAACCTTGGTATGTTCTAACTCTTTTTACTTTTACTGATCTAGAAAAGAATTTTTTTTATATTGTTTTGTTCAGACATGTAAGTTAATCAAATGAAATAATGCAGGCATGGAATCGAGCAAGAGTACACCTTGCTGCAGAAGGAAGTTAAATGGCCTATTGGATGGCCAGTCGGAGGGTATCCTGGACCGCAGGTGCTGTGTCTTTGTTCATTTGATGTCCATTAAGTTGCTTGGTTGTTGTTATTCATTATTGGCTTCCTATATACAATCGTTCAAGTCATATTTTACCTGTTACTGGCTTTTTGCTTGAATTTGAGGTATCTTCTATACAGAGTTGTTGATTTGGTAATTTATCTCATCTATAACTCACAGGGACCATATTATTGCAGGGCTGGAGCTGACAAGGCTTATCGTGACATTGTTGACTCACATTATAAAGCTCGTCTCTATGCTGGCATTAACATAAGTGGTATCAATGGAGAAGTTATACCAGGCCAGTATATCTCATGGATTCACAATTTTTTTTTCCTGGTAGTGGGCTAGCTTGTGAAAGAATTACCTGCTTTTCATGATTTGAAACTAGAAAATGTTAATCATGCTTGTGGCTGAAAAGTATAAAACTCTTCTTTTTGCATAGTGGGAATTCCAAGTTGGTCTGCTGTCAGCATCGCTGCTGGCGATGAGCTTTGGATGGCTCGCTACATTCTAGAGTCTTTTTCCCAGTTGACAGAGGATAACTGAAATTGCTGGAGTGATCCTCTCATTTGATCCAAAACCTATTCTGGATAGAATCTATTCTGGATAGAATCATGCGCTCTATAGATCTGCCTTTTCACCAGTTTTAGCATCTTGTCAGATTATTGTAGCCATGATGTTATATCATAGAGCTGCTTGTTTTGGACCACTTATCCATTCTCAGTTGGGAACATAATTTTTTTTTTTTTTAAAATTTGGTAGGATGATTGGACTGTTGCTCATACTAATCACAGGTTGAATTTTGAACTCCTTTTCTTTTGTCAGTTATTCCCTGGATATTTATTGCAAGACGGTTAAACTCATTTTATAAGTTGCATATCTTCTTTAAGATGCAATACTAGCCTGTAGGTAAAACATTATTGACGTTGCTATCAGCACCAAGTCAGTGAGAAGCAATGGAGGATTCAATGTTACAAGGAAGGCTATTGAAAAGCTTAAATTTAGGCACAAGGATCATATTGTGCTTATGGAGAGGACAATGAACATCGTCTTACTGGGAAGCATGAAACAGCAGACATTAACACCTTCTCATGGGTAAAAACTTCTTCACTTTTGATTCTATCACAGTGTTGATTTGCAGCTGTGACTGGTTACTTAGATAATTACCTTCTAGTTGCAAAACAAAACAGTAATTATAGACATGGCCACCTTCTTGCCACTTTATTTTCGATTGGTTGATTTACATTCCTGGTGTATGATTGTTGTCGTCCAGAAGCTTTCCTTATTAATGTTCTACATTTTCCAAATATTGTTTGGTTTCTGGGATTACTGTTTCATCTCTACTGTCTTAAGCACCTATTTCATCTATACCGTCTTGTCTTGTTTCATTAATTGTGCAGTCATTCAAACTGCTGATACCCTTGTGCATACAACTGATTCACATGGTGTAGCAAATCGTGGAGCCTCTGTAAGGGTTGGCAGGGAAACAGAGAAGGGTGGCACTGGTTATTTTGAAAGACAGGAGGCCTGCTTCAAACATGGATCTTTGTGTTGTTACTTCTATGGTTGCAGAAACAACCATTCTGTGGAAGCCATGAGGCTTACAGCCATTTTTTGCGCATTATGGATTATTTGCATTCTTGACCGCTGGAGTCATTTAGATGAAGTGTACTCTCTTATCATTCTTATTTATCAGCATCATTATCCTTGTGTATGCCAATAAGATTGTTCTTTCTTTTATAAGATTTCTTTGCCTCTCTCCAGCTTTTGCTATTCAAATCAGAGGCATGGCTGTGGGCCTCATGGCATCTAGAAAATAATCATATGTACTGGTATCAAGACCTCAGTATGCATAGAAGTGCAGATCTTGCCTTCATTCACCACTGTTCAACCCATTGGTAAGCACAACGAGTAGGAATCTGCATTATGGAGCGTTGCTTTACTGATGCTGACTGTATTGTCTTTCTGTGGGATGTTGGTTCATGTGTCATGTGGTCGATGCCTTGTATAAGAGCAACTGATGATTGTGTAAGTGCTAATAAAGCAATAGAACATTGAAGGCATGCTGTCACTCGAAATGTTGATGAAGAGATTTCTACTTTCTTAGGCAATAAATATATACGTAGGGTCTCATGTGATATTGATATAAAACACGGTAATGAACACACATTTAAGGGAACTAGGAAAATGCACTTGCGGAAATGAGTAATGTTGATTATAATGAGTAATGTTGATTATATATATGATATTGAACTTAATCAAAATTGATTTCATTGTAAGCAAGAAAATCAAATGTTAGAGAATCTGTGGATGCTTAGAGTGGAATTGGTCCTATGGTATTGTTCTTAGAGCAAATTAAAAAAAGAAAGGAATCCACTATCAAGTGCAAAACTATGGCCATGGCTTTATGAAAAAAAGATGCAATTGATTAAGTTGGAAAATATATATTAAACCATCAAACTTCAATTCTAAGCAAAAAGATTGAACAAATTCTACAAACTTTTCTGGACGACTAATACGACTCCATTTGGATTAGCAGTTTTTTAGGGTATTTTGAAATATTTTATTATAACAGTGTATATGAAAATTTTTTTATCGTACATGTTTTTCGTGAAATTTTTGGAGGTTTTTTAAGATATATTTTGGAGTAGTTTTAAAGTTTAAATTTTTTTTCTTAGTATTTTTAAAAAATTACCATCACCACCACCACCCCTACCCTTCTCCTCCTCCTCTTTCTTCCCCCTCCCTTTTTCTCCTTCCCTCTTTCTTCCCCCTCCTCCATCTCTTTACTCCTCCCATCTTCTTTCTTTCTTTTTTTTCCTTCCCTCCTTCCTTTCCCTTCTCCTCTCTTTTCCTGCCATGCCTCACCCCTCCTCTTCCCCATTGGACAGATCGAGACCTCGGGTCACGATATCGCGGCCAAATTATAGGCTTTTGTCGAGGCTAGATTTGGGAGGGAAAGGAGGCGGTGGGGTGTGGCGAGAAAAGCGAGAGGAACGGAAAGGGAGGAGAGGAGGAGGAAGAGAGAGGTAGAGGAAATAGGAGAAAGAAGGGATGGTGGCGGTGGTGGGTATGAGTGGTGGTGATAGATGGAAGAAGAAAATGGTGTAAATTTTTTTTTATTTTTTATATATTTGGAGTTGTTTTTGATATATTGTATGGATGTGATGTTTTTGTAATTGTTTTTGTTTGTATATTACTGTAGAATTGTATATAAAAAACTTGTTTTTCAAAAAATAAGGAATTCAAATGGAGCAAAAATCGATAAAAATAATGAAGATTTGTATGGTTTACAAACTTTATAGACTTTCTTTTTTCATCCATTCTCTAGTTTACTGTCTGCTTTAATGTGTAATGCATGAAGGGATATCCTTCTCAAAAATAAGAAAAAGGCTGTCTCTTTTTTCTGAGAATATTTAATATAACATTTTGTGATAACTTTTATTTTTCCATTATGAGTTTTTACTTTGTATCATAACTGATAATGGTTGTTTTTGTGTTAAAGTATATAACTTATACAAACTCATGTAACTTACAAATATCAATATTATTTAGCTATGACTTTTATTTCTATATGGACTCGGTTCAATAGAATTATGAAATATAGGTACATAATCCTAAGAGCTACAACCATGATTCTTAATATCTAAATGAAATAGTTTAGTAAGACTTAAAAGGGTAAAACATTAAGATATCTAATATGACATAAGCCTAGCAGTAAACTTGAAAAATTATTGTTTCATTTTTAATTTTCATATTGAGATTGTTGGCATGAAAGCATTTGTGATTTAAGAACTCATTCATTCTTTAATGTTTTTATTTCAGCAGCATATAGACAACACTTGTGACAGCCCCACCTCCTCCTAAGGCGAACCAGAGGGTTCGGCGGGCCGCCTACCCAGCTCTCGCCGGGACTCAGTCGTTTACTACATTCCTCAAACAGATTACAAGATAAAACTCACATATTACAATATAAATCTCCAATATACATCAAATTCTCCAATAATTACATGTCATAAGCGAAGCGGAAACAATTCCAAATAAGCCATCCAGTCACGTGAATAAGTACTACAAGCCCTTCCTTCGCCTTGAGCCCTGTGGAGGGGAATAAAACATTTTTGGGGTGAGTTAGAAGCTCAGCGAGTAACCAGTAAAAGCAGTCATCAAATATATTGCACAGTAATGTATTCCAATGATGTCATGAATCAGAGATCAAATGTACGTCTTTTGCTTTCGTGAGCTAGTGAAATCATAGCACTTGAACACCCAACGCTCAAATAGATCATTTAACATTAACAGAGAGGGCGCCCGTTTTTGAGCTCCAGATAAACATGAACATGAACCATAAACAGAGTGGAGACGTTGGTGTCCAGCACAAGACTTTCCCAGAACTCATTGAAGCCAAATCATGTCATGAACTCACATGCAAGCACGCATGATATGCAATCGAGTACATAATGCAAGAAACATTTCACAAGTACGTTGGAAATAGTTTAGGGTCACTCACCTCCACGGCTCAGAAATCATCCATCAAATATCATTGCCTTGCTCAAATCCAAGTCTTAAATCACAAACTCAATGCAAACAAGTTCCTTCAAAGTTCGGACAGCACTTCCCCTGAATTTGTTAACTTTTCCAGCCATCATGGCTTCATTACTTCTTCAAATCAGTCCCAAAGGTACACACACAACAACAAGTTCATCCAATAGCCATTCAGCAAGCTCCAAGTAGTACTAGTACAAGTCAAGCTAGGGAAAAGTCCGGAAATGAAAGTTAAGCTCAAAACCAGAAAAACAGTTTTGACGTCATTTTGCGGTAATGGTACCAAAGGTACTACGATGGTCGGATGAAGGTACAAGATACACCGTTTCGAAGCTAAGAGATAGGGTTACAATATTGCAGAAGGTCACTCAACCCAGTTTCGAGTGTAACCAGGTCAAAAATGCAAGATACTATACCAGAATCACAAAAACAGATTCACAGAACGCATTCTAGCGGAAACATCATAAATCAGGCTATCCAAGTCCAAATCCAGAAATTCCAAAACCAGCTGAAAGCTAAGAAACAGGGTTAAATTTCATCAGAAGGCCTCAACAACCAATTCGGAAGAAATCCCAGCCAAAACAACCAATTACAGGCGCAATTCTTACATTCGGGTAAAACCAGAACAGCAATAGTAATTTCGACTTTTCTCACTCTACGCTACTCCGATTGACCTGAAATTTTGTAGGCACCTCTAAAATGTCATTCCATACAACTTTCATGTTTTAATCCAAAGCCAATTCGGCCTCTAACTAGGAGCTAAAAATTCGGGCAGAATGTTCCTTCACAAAACCTAATTTTCTGAAATTTCCTCCAAAACAGAAATTGATTGCAATTGTCCACTTTTTCCATCTTCTAGAATTATTATATACCATTTCCAATCATCATAGATAGCCACACAACCATGCTTATATTAAAACAGAAAAATCCCCAAAAATAATAAAACTTCATCAAGTCAACCACAACTCAAGATATAATCCATCAAACCATCTCTTTAGCCATCACAAGTCACTAATTTAGCATAATCAAGAACAAAGAAAGGATTGCTAGACATGAACCTTGAAATATCAAGAAAGTTGATGGCTTAGTCCTTTGCCTTCTCTAATCACTCCACCACTATCTTCAATCTTCCTAAACAAGTGACTTTTGTGGAGGAATTCGAAAGTTTAACGGTTGATTCACAAGATTGAGCAAGAAATGGAGTTGGAGTTGAAGGCTTTCTTCTTGTATTTTTGCTCCAAGAGGTTCGGCCAAGACAAGCTTAAAATGGAGAGAAATTGGTCAATTTTTGAGGTTTAGTAAAGGTGATGCAAATTAGTCAAAGTCCAACTTTGAATAAGAAGGTGACACATGTCACCTTTTGGTTTTAAAACTTATCTTTTTGTCTCTCCAATACAAATATCTTAACACCTTGTAAAATAATGTCACTTAATACAAAATCCCAACAAGTTGTCAAAAATATAATGCATTTACCGCACTAGCGGGTCCCACGTCCAAAATACGCTTTTAATTTCTCAAAAACTAACCGATACTAGAAAAATCATTTTCAAACTATCTCTGCTCATAAACTTTATCTGGGAAATTTTTCTAATAAAGAAAATGTAGAAAAGGTGGGCGATTAAAAACATAAACACTAGAAAATTAGAAAATTTTCGGGTTCTCACACTCATTCTTTTCGGGGCGTCACAAAACTACTAATGCAAACGGCTTTTTCTCCTTTTATACTTACAAATGCTTTAATATAGTATTTTCTCTCTTTTTTGGCCAATTAATCTTGAATATCTACTTTCCAAAAAACAAAGACTTTGTTTTATTTTCTACTTATCAAAATTAATGTCTTAGGAAGTTACACTTTCTATCATACTGCATGATTTTCCATATTTTAGTTACCATGGCTTTCCACTTTTAAAAGTTTTTTTGGTTAACTAACTATTTGGTTGAACCTCTTAATATCTTTTTTTGGTTAACTAACTATTGAGTTGAACCTCTTATAAAACTGAAGTAGATCTTAAGCACTGCCATTTGATAACTAGCATAGCCATAATGCTCTAAATTCACTACAATAATTGGTGATTCATAAATTTAAATATCTTCGAAAGAATTTAAACAACTAGAGGGATTTGAGAGGATTTCAAATCCTTTGCCAAATTGCTCAATCTAAATGCAACCTAATAGTTTATAATTTAATCACGTATGATGGAGTACTCATAAAATTAGTCTAATTTAATAAACACACTTTACCTCCTCCATGAAAGAGGTCATCCGTAAAAGAAATTCACATTTCTTATACATATTTGATTGGTTTGGTGTACACTGTACAATTGAAAATTTACAATTTTGGCTTTACCTTATTATAGAAGATATTAACACAATTATATCAACTATACAATTAAAAATAGTTATTTAGATTCATAGATATTTTACTTTGACTCTTTAGCAATCTTTTTTTCCCCTTTACATTATGACTGAATATTCCTTGAGATTTGGTTCAAGTTTTAGTTGAAATGACAACAGAAGTACTTTTTTTCT